TCCATGGGACAGGAAGAGACAGCAGTCTGCGCTGGTTCAGAGACCGGCACCAGCGCTGGAGGAAATGCTGAAAACTACTGGAAAGAAGATGATCAGATCGAGAAGCATCAAGGTACTGTAAGTCATTGAAGCAGGAAGGGGGATGTGACTTTAATGTCACTTCAAAATGTACACAGGGCATATTTATAAAGTAGGGAATCTGACATTCAACAAACATTCCTAGGGAACATCTAGGGATGAAAATAAACAGGGTTATTCGCAAAAGGGTGAAGAGTTTGGAGAAGGCAGCAGAAGTGAACAATCTAGGACAACATAGCTGAACTGGAAAGTGAGCGGAATTGGAGAATATTTCCAAATCAGCTATTTTGGCCTTGATTGTTCACTTCTTCTGCCTTCTCCAAACCCTTCAACCTTTTGTGAATAACCCTGTAAGTTATAGTGACCTGAAACTCGGAATTGGCTGGCTGCTACTCCGGTCCCTGCAACCTCTCTTCCTCCATTCTGCCCCTCAGCATCCTCACGTCCTATACATTGTATAGAACGTGATGACTCACAGGACCTTCGACCATTGCAACAGAGTGGGAGTGAGCTCACAGGGACCGGTCTAACAGCAAGCCGGCTGCGAGGTTCAAGTGAGTATAACTTTTTTTTTATTTTCATCCCAAGATAAAAATGAGCACTTAATCCTTGCAGTGCAGGGGTTGCCCCACTGCAAGGGTTAAGAATAATTATGTCAGGAGTTCTTATTTCATAAAGTTAATGAGAGAAACATAATCCTCAAATATCAGTCCTTAGTCTTTCTACAAGGACAGATCACTGTGAAAGTGCACAGAAAAACTTGAATTCAACCATCTTGCCTGCTGCAACAAAACATCTAAAAGAGTAGAAATTATTTTTTTTTAAAATGATTTTACATTATGATGTGTGAATAGGAACATACAACAAACATATAGAGGGGTTTTCTCAAATTTGATTGTAAAAGTGGAAATACACTTTAGAAAACTGAGACAGGGCATCTCATACCACATTTAGCAGGCCTTCTGACAAATTCTAACCACACCTTGGCTTGCCTGCTAGTCCAGTCATTAGGATTTGCTGCTTACTGTTTGTGAGCATTAACTGATAACAGATACATGGAGATACATGTATTTTAAATGCACCTGAACTTCAGCTTACTACAGGTGAAACTCGAATAATTAGAATATCATGCAAAGTTCATTTATTTCACTAATGCAACTTAAAAGGTGAAACTAATATATGAGATAGACTCATTACATGCAAAGCAAGATAGTTCAAGCCGTGATTTGTCATAATTGTGATGATTATGGCTTACAGCTCATGAAACCCCAAGAACCCCAAATCCACAACCTCAAAAAAGTAGATTATTACATGCAATCAATAAAACAAGGATTGTACATAGAACAATATCAGACTTCTGAAAAGTACAAGCATGCATATGTACTCAGTACTTGGTTTGGGCCCCTTTTGCAGAACTTACTGCAATTACTTTTGCACGCTATTCTAATTATTCGAGTTTCACCTGTATTCTTATAGCTCACAGCAGTCTATGTGTTATCCAGTATAATTGTGACACATTATTTGTTTGAGCAAAAATATTGATACCCATTTCTAGATATTTGTTGCCAATACACATATAAAAACAAGCTGTTCAAATCTTCTTTTCTCAATTTTTATTGAAAAAAAGTCACAAAAAGTAAAGTTCATGAAAAATCATGTGCTTAAACTGAACCTGTTATGCCATTGAGGACATCTTCATCTGAATCTGACCCTCGTTGTTACAATACCTTGGATCTCTAACCTGGAACACATATGCACATAGACGTCTGACTTTTCTTTGACTTTCTTGATCTGCATACTTGTTCTGGGTCAGAGGGTCAGTATAACAGCCAGGTAATTAACATGTTCAAGAAGGTTAGCAAGACCGTCTCTTAGGCCCGCTTCACACCTGGGCGTTTTGTAGCGCGTTCGAACGCTCTGCAAAATGCTCAAACACCAAAATGCCATTATTTCCCATGGGTATGGTTCACACCTGGGCGTATTACAGGCCGCATTAACGCGCTACAAAACGTCCTATGCCCAAAGAAGTACAGGAGCTTCTTTGGGGCGTTTTTGTCGTGCGTTTCCATTGGGATACAGCCAAGTAGCCCTCGGAAACGCGCGTTTGCTGGGCGTTTTTTTTAACCGCGAATCGCCCGACAAACGCGCATATTCGATACGCCTAGGTGTGAACCCAGCCTTAAAGCATGGTAACTTGAAAGTTAGCAAGAGCTTCTCCTACATTAAAGCCAAACTCAAGTCAAAGCTCTTTTTCCCCCAAATTTTTAATATAGTGATGAGCGGTTAGAACCAATGTTTCTTACTTAACCATGCCCTACAGGACTTTTAGTCGCTGACACTGTTGTAACTCTGCGATTAAGCCCGCTTTGTAAGTTTATACTGTTGAAAAATCAATAAGAAAATTACTTGCTAAAAAAAAAAGAACCCCTGAAAAGGTTGGAATCCCGGCTCTCTGCTACTGTTTGTGTGTCCTCACCGGGGGAATTTCTTCTTGCAGGAAGTGACAACAATAAAAACTGGATAGAGATATTAAACCTTCCTCACGCTGTAAAAAATCCTTTGATTGAAAGCTGAGCTTTAAAATGTATGTATAGCCAAAACATTGTCCAAATTGGAAGCTTGGCCTTTACCCCTTATTCAGGAGAAAATAGTTGGATTTCCCCTTACTTGCTGTATTGGTGAAACGCGTCCCCGGACAAACAGAGTAGTGAATCTCACCAATGGGGACACAGACAGCAATAAAAACTTGGCAAAGAGTCTAAACCACTCAATCCAAAAAAAGACACACTTGAAAGAAATAAGTTCATCCTGATTTCTACAGCGTAACAGAGCCAGATATGTTTAAAAGGATTGTTCTTTTAAAATGAATTATCACACATGTTGTACGATCCCTGCAACCAAAAGTAATTAGGACACTTAAGAGTGTTTGTTATCACTTGGGAGTTAAAGTAGAACTCCAGTTCAAATTTTATTTTGCATTGTAAAGCAAGTAAAAGGTCAAAACAACAAATAGGTTTTTACTGCTACTTGTATTTAAAAGGCAATTCCAGCCAAACAGATGAATCCACAGCTGAAGTACATATATTATCAGATACATTTTCCATGCCAAAGGATTTTTATTGCGGCCCATCCAGCCCCGAGATTTACATGGCCCTGCCAGATAGCACAGTCAGGCTAATGATCGACCTGACTTTTTTTACTGCAGTTAGTGACAGTAAACTCAGGAGTTAAATCTTTAAAAAATTTATTCAAGTAACTATTTTTAAAAAATTAACTTATTTGTGTATCACTCGGCTGTAGATCCTCAAATCATCTCTGAATTCATGCTGACACTGTGCTTCCTTCTGGAGGGTGGCTACTTCTGTTGCCCATGGTCCCTGTGTGTGTTGTAAAGTAGCCACCACTCCAAGCTCTCTCCTGTGATAGTTTATAATTTCCGTACAAATCAATAAAACTAAAATCTGAGTTTGGAGGGGTGGCTACTTTACAACAAACACAGGGACAATGGGGTCCCTGTAATTTGAGGATCCACTGTGTTTAGTGTCACTTTAAGAACACCAGCAGGGTCACCTCTCTGCCTCCAGCCTGTGCTTTGACACTAAAGAGCAGCAGAATACTGATGAGCTCAACCCTCACTTGATTAATTCTTAGTCCTCATTCACACACAACCCCTGTGTGTAATTGTATATTGCGTATATACGCGTATGTATACGCACATACACGTATATATGTGTGCACGATATGCAATCCCAGAATGCATCATTCGTAATAGAAATTTTAATGAACTGTACGCGCGTAAAATACGCAGAAATATACTGCCCGGACGCATCTCGGTTCCATTCTGTTTTTGCACATTTTTACGCTACGCAAACATACGGCTCCATACGCAGCTATGTGTAGGGGACCATTAATTTGCATATGCTGCATATGGGACAATGTGGGTGTACGCGCATATACACAGCTTATTGCAGGGCAGTGTGAATGAGGCCTTACTGGTCACCCTCTCTCCCTCAGGGGATCACAAGAGGCTGATTTCAGCTACTTAATTTCAGCGACTTAAAGAGACTTTGCCACCAGCCCATTCTTTTCTTCCCATAAGAATGTACGTGCATTTACCATATTTTATACATGTTATTTACTTGTATAACCCTCCCTTATGTAGGCATCCAAAAGCCATGAGACTTCTGCTGGGCTCTGCCATGTTGAATGTGATGACAGCTGCCCCAGAAGATGCAGAGCTGAAACTGTAATTAGACACTGCCAGAAGAGAAGTGGCATGGCATGCAAGGAGGTTGGGGCTGTGCTAGGAAAAAGGAATCTTCTGTAGTCACATTTTCTAGCAAGGTCAAAGGCCCATTGCAAGTGAAAAAGATAACACTGCACGCAAGCATTTAAAATACTTTTTTTTCTGTGCTTTTACCTGCAATTTTTTAAATATATGACAGGGTCTCTTTGGGTTTTTGTTTTGTTTTGCTGGAGTTCTCATGACACATGTGTATGGCTAGCTGGGGAAAGGAAAAAACTTGCTGATGATAGTGAAATCTGCTCTTGCGCCAAGTGACTGCCTACCACACGCTATCACTATGACTAATACTTCCTATTCTGCTGGTTTGGTCTTTACCCAGTGAAGGAACTACATCCATATTACAAGATGAAAAATAGTGCAACATAATAATGATCACCAAAGGATATATAACATTCTCCAGTATCTCCTCTTCCCTACTGCTGCAAGATGTCTTGTGTCATGTCCCATATACTTTACAACTGTTCAATACAAAGCTGGGATCGGCTGCATCACTCGCACACAGTGCATACCATGAGGCCAGGTTTATCATGCTAACTGTGTAAATGTAGTTCATTGTTTTTCTGTATTAGCCAACGTGAACTATGGATTATTTCAGCCACATTAACCTGGATTGATTTTATTGTCTGTGCATAAACAGATATAAACATTCCCTATCTAGAAACATGCACAGAATACAGCAGTGGCTCAACAGCTAAGACATTTGACAAGAAAACATTTCAAGAAATTTTGAAGATAAGTATTATGTCCATGTTTGTGTTACATTAAAAAAATAGTTGTTCCAGTAATCACATAAAATGTCCATAGAAAGAAGGATGTTAAATCCAAGTAAAAACTATAAAATGTTTTATATATTAAATGATGAAGGTCTAAATACAAAGTGCACTTTAATCTTCTTTCTGTCTGCTGTGAAACCTTTCCAGCAGGGCACGAAAGATATTTCCGGGGATTTTTTGGTGCTTGTCGATCAGAGACTGAATGGCATATTTTGTCTGAAAGAAAGACAAAGATTTACTAGTACTACTACACATGAACTGCATATTTAATATAGGGTATGCAAATAAAAACACAATCTCTGTAGACACTCATTAGAAAGCCGAATCCCGTCAGTGCAACAAACAGCGTAACTTGTGGCAGAGTCATGTAACTGTCTGTAAGGTGTATATGAATCTGTTGCAGAATGGTCTCAGACAGAATAAGCTGTGACACAATACTTACATATGCAACACAATTTACTTCAACGTGGAAGTATTTCATGGTGTTATTCACTTCTACTTTTCGTATCACTGAAATGGTGGTATTTGTTAACAAATTTGTTGCAGCTATAGCGCCAGAATGTAATAGTGTCACAGATAAGAACTAACTGAATTTGTTGCACGCATTTGAAATAGCAAGAAAACTATTGCATGGCTTTCATGAATATGGCACAGGACTTTCTAACATGACCATAATGCCAGAAAAGTGTTGCATATGCTTTACTGAATTGCCTCAAAAAGGCCTGAATCAAGCCACAGAACATCATAAAGCGAAATGTACTAAAAATGATTCAAGGTTTACTGGAATTTAGTAAAGCTGCTGTGTGATAAAAGCTACAGGAGTCCATCAAAGTTAAGAGAACTATGAGGTGAGTGCTTTTCACTCACCTCATAGTTCTAGCCGACCTGTGACAATGAGACTGTCACAGGTCGGCTCAGTAGATCGGGAGGTGAGCGAACACATACCGGCGTTCGCTCACCTCTCGATCTTGTCACGGCTCTCTGCCGTGACAGGGGAGGGGCTGGATTCCCCCCTCCCTGCTCCGATCCGCCAGCGCTGACTGGCGGATCGGACGGGTGAGGGGGCAGGTACAGCTGGCTCTGCCTCTACATAGGCAGAGCCAGCTGTCACTCACGCAGCTGGGCGGATCCCGGAATAATTGTTGGGATCCGCTTCAGCTGTGGCGTCTCATTATACCGCGAGCTGTAGCTCGTGGTATACTGTGGCGTTTCTGTATACTGAGCTTAGGGTGACGGGAGGACGCTAGTTTGTGTCCTACCATTACCCTAAGGAGAACTATGGGGAAAAGCCTTAACCCCATAGTTCTCCTTTAAAGAAATCTATTTAGAATATCGGTCACTGATCATTTGATTTATAATCTGTAAAGTCTGACATATTCTCCATAGTGCTTTACAGAATACTCTGAACTATCCCCAGTATATTTACAGGGACTGGTGTGATATGCTCCAGCTCTTTAACCACATCCCGATCTATACTACACAAGCCAGTAACAAAAAACGTAAGACTTTATTGGTACCAGTTTGGAATGTGTACAAAATATTTGCTAGAAAATTATTACACCACATCCAAAAATGATTAAAACCCCATAGTATACCTTGCAGCCTCTACCCAATTATCTTAATCTACCCAGCCTTCTGATTCTTCCATGGGATTCTGAAAAGTCATTTGTATATTAGTATTTATGAATATATATTCAATTAAATTATTCTAGATAATTACTCAAAAGACAACGGGATATTAATATGACTGGGTATAGGCTGGGAAATATAATAATATGTGGTTTTAATAGTTTTTGTATGTGGTGTTTACCATGAATACTAATCTTTTGTAATAAAAAGGATAATAATTTTGAAGAAACTGGAAGAAACTATAAGTTATCTCCTGTGCACAGACAGCATGTCACATGAGGTTTTTTTTTTGTAGTGTACATTTGCACTGTACATGAAACCAGATAAACATAAAATGTAAAATAAAAAGGCAGCAGATTTCTGGAAGGAAACTAAATAGCTTTAGATGATGCAGCTTTGCAGAGGCATAATCTCTTGTGGAATGTCTTGTATAACAAGCTCAAAAGAAATACTTCATACCTTCTCAGCCAGTTCACTGGCTGTTAAACTGGGATCATACTGGATGGGATCACCAAGATAAGTGCGAAATTTCACAGGAAAACCACCATAAATAGGAACTATTGGAAATTTAAATTTCTCATACATCCATCGAAAAATCCCTGGAAGAGAAGAAAAAAAAACCATGTATAATCTTTTAATAAATAGGAAAATATAATATTGCATAGAAGGTATCCATGTATAATGACTCCACTTGTCAAGCTAGGGTGCTAGTTATAAAAATAAGTTCACTGTACTTTACCCCATTTTGCTGCTAAATGTTTCTTCATTTATAAATTAAATATTGAAGGTTGCAATGCTAAAATAAGTAAAGAAAGGATGAAATGTGTACGACCAGTGAAAAACCAGAAGAAAAAAAAAATACATATTTGCAGCTATCCTACACTGCAAATAATGGATTAAGCTTGGCTTGGGGTGACGTAAATGAATGGTAATATTTTCAGCAAAGCAAACATCAAAAAGACATAAGATTGTTGAAGGTTCTTTACAAATAGTTCCACCCCAGTAGAACTATGGAAAATAATGAGTGGATGAATAGCTTGCAGCTTTAGGGCTAGTGTACATTGGCTTGTGTGATCAGTTAATGTCAGATTATGATCAGTTCATGCTTTGCATTTATTCCTCCACAGAAGTCAATGTGAGGGCATGGTAAACACATCTCCAATGCATCTCAAAAGTCCTGAACTGAATTATTAGTCCGTGTCATTGCCTAAGAGCTTCAATGCCAGGAAAATGATAAAATACATAATATTGTAGTGTAGCCAAGTGGTCTGTACCTTTGCCTTGAGGCTCTGGGTTTTGAATTCCCATCCCATCTGGGACAACCTCTGCATATTGTTTCTGTGTAGGTTTCCCCCAGCAATCCAAACACATACTGGTGGGTCTACAGGCTCCCTCTCCCCTCAAACTCCCCCAGTCTGAGTGGGATAGGGACATTAGTTGTCCTCATTAGGTGCTCACATGACTGTTGTGAATGCTAGTACTCTAATATTTTGGCACCTTAAAATATTGAAGAGAAGTACATATATACCAGTGGATGAAGAGGATATTTACAATGTGCTTGGGAAAAAAAGACAATAAATAAAGTTCTGCATGCTAGAATATCCACTACTGATGCTACCAGCAATAAAGCAGCAACTCTCCTAGAATTAGATGTACATAAACTACAGGCAAATGAGCTACATAAACTGTCCCATAATATTATGCCAAAATATGATATCTTACATAGGCGTCCGAGAGACCGGAATCCCTCCCGGACATTTTGTGTAAACATTGGAATGATGGGCTGAAAGAAGAGAAAACAAGACTGTGATTATGTATTAGAGGAGTCAGTTTCAAACACTGTAGGGGATGTAGTGTGGTGTTGTAAAAATCTCCTTAAATGCATCATAGTCAGGACTAAAAATAAAAATTTAATATTTTGTGTCAGATAAATATAACAGTTTGCATATTAATGTTTTCTGTTCCTATGCAGGGCACATCCCCAGATTCACTTTAATGCAGACCTCCTTTTGATGTCGCTTCCTGCCATTGATCTTCTAGGAGCGAAAGGAAATCCTTATGTAATTAGTCATGTATTACAGTGTGCTTGGGACCACCTATGTGATAGCACTGGTTGGCCCAGTACTGTCACATCACTGAATCACAGGTTCCTCCATACTTGCAAAGTAAAGGATACCGTATTTTTCCGCCCCCATGTATAGGACGCCCCCGACTTTTCTTACCCAAAATTCAGAAATCAATATTTCCCATGCTCTTTTGCATAACTGATTACATCCAGTTTAAATTTTGCAGAGTAAGACAGCCGCTTACTGGTACCGGTATTTTTTTTTTTTTCTGACATTTTTATGGGCTCCATGTTTCATCTGGGCACTGGCTGCAAGCTCTCCGCAGCATCAGCTGACATCAGGTGCATAAGGCTCATGATTGGATGAAACCTGTTAGCTTGTCTCTGCAATCGGAAGTTTCACTCGTGAGCCTAGTTTGCAGAGGTATCAGCAGTTTCACAACTGCGGTACTCCTCTCGGCCCCCCGTGTATAAGACGCCCCTCCATTTTTAGGTAAATATTTTTAAGAAAAAGTATAGTCTTGTACACCGAAAAATACAGTATGTAATTCCATTTTTGGCCTTGATGGAGCAAATGAGAGAAGAGAACATACTGGTCGGAATGGGATGGGGAAGGGGGGGTGGTTAAGCAAATCTGTTGCTTTCCCCCAATTGGAGGCCATAAAAAAGAAAGCAGAATGAAAACTTTTTTCTTAAATATTTTTTTTTTCTAAACTAAATTTTTTTATATTTCATTTCTTATTTTTTAATACATTTTTTAATTTATTTTTTTACTTTACTGGTCGGGGCTTCTGGGAAATATTAGGGGTCTAAACAGATCCCTGATATTTCCCTTTTAAAATAGAAAAAGAGTTTGAGGACACAGAGTCCTCAATCTCTTTTTCTGCAGCCCCTGTTATAAATGAACAGGAATCCTCTATACTGAGTGTTTCTGTTCATTCATAACTTGTGGAGATAGTATGTTTACTATACCCACAATCATGAATAAACAGAAAGTGATGTAGAGCACTTCCTGTTCATTCATAATTGGTGACACAGTAAACATACTATGTCCCCAATTATTTACAAGCAGTCAGCGATCAGCTGATAGCTGACTGCTTGTACCCACTCTCCATCCTGACTCGCTGTCACCGGAGGCTGAGCGGGCTTGGCCTCCTGTGACAGCTGTCTCCACCAACACACCGCTCTCCATCCTGGTCTGTCACAGGAGGCTGTGCACGGCAGCGCGGGAGGGGAGTTCAGCCTCCTGTGACATCACAGTTCACAGCGATTTCTTTCCCGCCACGCTCGGCTGCCTGAATGTTTCTCTCCTCCCTCCTGGATGCTGGGCTGTGTCAGAGGGAACATAGAGCAGCGCCCAGTGGAGAGGAGAAAAACCAGGTAATGACAACCAGGTAATCGGCCAAAAATGTCACTTTTGGCCGATTTGTTTCGGCGGCTGAAATTTCGGTACATCCGCAATCTAAAAAAAAACCTATAATACCCTTTTATTGAAGTCTTCTAGCCAGTCCAGTGATGTCACAGGGGCTTCCTCTTCTTTCTCAGAGGTGCCCATTCTTCCTTGACTGAGCAATGCTTATGTAAATGACTTGTGAGCACCGTTCAGAGGTCATTTATGTGACTGCCACTCAGTCCTGGAGTACTTTGACCCCAACCTTTGTAATGAAACACCACAAGGGTGTGTGTGAAAGACAGGCTGAGCGTCATTGTGCCCAAAGAGGACCTGCAGTGCTCGAATTAAACTAAAAAAAAATGTTTGCTTTAATATATGTAAAATGTTTTTTTCCCAATGTGGCTTAGCGTCAGTTGAGTAAACTATATGTGGAAATTTATGAAACATGGAGCAGACAGAATCTAAAGCAGTTCCCCTCAGCAAGCAATCAGCTTCTCTCTTCAGTTTGTTCAGTTACGTTTTAAAAATGAAAGATAGAAACGGACTTGTTGCCATGGGCAACTGCTCTAGATTCTGTCTGCTCCAGTATTGATAAGTTCCCCTCAATTAGTTACTTAAACTATGTTAGTAATTTTATCTCCTAATAGTTTTCTGATCAAAATGTTCAGTTCACAAACAAATGTTGCATAAGGTGTTCATTCTATTAACGCTAATCTGAACCAAGCAAAATTCTATAGACCGAAAACCTATGCAATACATTTTATAAATGGACTTTTACATACAAAATATATTGCAAATTAATAAAACATTAAATATGGAGTAAATGTAAAGGATTCATGTGATAAAACCTTAAGGGGACCCAAAAGCTACAGTCAATTTTAAACTCACCACTTGAGCATCAATTGCCACCTGTGCAAATCCTATCCGATTCCCCCATATGATGGTGTAGGTTTCATCACTAAGCAAGGCCTCCCGTACCCCTCCTGGGGAAATAGCTAGTAGGTGGCCATTCCTGAGAGCTTTCACACATTCTTCCTTTGGTCCATGAATGACACTAAATACTTCAAGGAGTGGTTTAAAGCCTGAATTAAAATAAAGCATAGATAGAACTACATAAATACAATGATGGGATCATGCAAATAAAATCAAATTATACGATTTAATAACTACAATTATAATATATAAATGGCATCTGGAATTATATTAAAAAAAATGATTGGAAGCTGAACTCCAGGCAGATTAAAAAAACAAAATGGATGTAGATATGTATTTATTATAAAAACCTTTTGAAACAACTGGTGTGGACTCTTGATAATGATCTGATTTCAGCCCCTTGTAATTGCTTATACAGCAGCACTTAGATTGGAAGCGGGAAGGGCAGCATTTGGGGCTAATCAGGTGCCCTGCATGCACATATGGGAACAAGAACCTTGCTGATAGGAAGAGAGAGCAGGAAGACGGCCTCATCAGTCTTTTGCTGCTCCTTCACTATCCATTTACAGTGTGGGAGCACAGAGGTCACCAGGGGTATTGCCTAAATGCAACAGGCTGGCCGTGCTGTTTTGTAGGGCTGTGTAAATCTTAGGATCGAATGGACACAAATGCAAATCCTTTGGCAGGTAAAGCAGATTCCATGTATGCATTTCAAAAGCAAATGTAGCGGTATGCCTGCAAATGCCACCTTGCTGCAAAAATATGTTAAACTATTGATGTATTGTGCCCCAGCTGGAACATGTTCCGATGCAAATACTTTGTAAAATATTCCCTATATAAAAACAACCAAATAAACCAATGCACTGACTGGAGAAAATTCACCTCATTGTTTTCAAAACAGATTAAATAACACATTCAAAACATGATTCCCATCTAAATACAGTGGTACATTAAGCAGCATCACTACTCAACATTATATGGCTGGCCTAATATGCATTGCTTTCCCCAGAAATTATTTTCAATTTGGAGAATGAAGGAGTAGTTAGGTGATCGCACAAAGACTGAGAAGGGATTGAGGTATACATACATATACACAGAGGCCATAATAGTATCAGAGCTCCCCTCAGAGCCACATTTAGCTACCTTCAGAGGCACGCTGTTACCAAAAAACAATCAAGACCAGCTATCTCCAGTGACAGGTTGGAAGAAAGTTAAAGTGACACTAAGCTCAGGAGTTAAATCTTAAAAATGTATTTGAGTACCTTAACTATTAACAAAACAAAAACTAAATATGAGATTGTAGTCCATCACGGGAGCGAGCTTGGAGTGGTGACTACTTTACAACACACACAGGGACCATGGGGAACAAAAGTAGCCACCCTCCAGAAGGAAGGACAGTGTCAGCTCCAATTCAGAGATGATTTGAGGATCTACAGCTGAGTGATACACAAATAAGATACATTTTTATTATTAGTTAAGGTACCTGAATGCATTTTTAAGATTTAACTCCTGAGTTTAGTGCCACATATTTGGTTGCTCTAATGGCTTCCTGTGGTCTCTAGTGATCAGGCTCATCTTTTGAAAGATGAAAGAAGAGGGAGGAAGTGTATGAAAAAAATATTTCTCCTTAATACAGAAGACACTGAAGAACTTTTAGATGTTATGCGAGTTGCTGTGGATGCTGTTGATCCTCCAAAAAAACCTTATACAATTAGGAGTGAGATATTGAAGAACTGAGACAATATCAAGGATACGGTATTCCCAGTTCCTAAGAGACACCACAAGATAATTAAGCATAAAAGGGACGCTAAATTTGTCAAGAGTTCTCCTTTTAATTAAACCACTTTTCTTTATTTATACCTACATTTGCATAGCAGAGGGCACTTTCCTTAACATGACGATTCCTGGACCATTTGAGCTCAGGCACTTGTGATTGTATTATGGAATGGAGGTAATCGGGTTGGACCTAGTATCCACTATCAGGAAATGGTGAGACGCTAGAGACTAAGGGCAGCTTTGAGCAGTCACTTTCTGAAATAGGTGTGTACTGACCACTTACGTGGTTTGCTACCAGCTGCTGTTAGCTTTTATATTAGCCACAACGGGTGATTTAGTTCTTTACCTGCAATAAATCTTTCTATAAAGAGCTACTACAGCCAGTTATTTAGGATCTCATGTTCAGATGCAGCATGTGATTATTTACCTGGTATTTTGAAAAGAAAGTGATCCCCGACTGAGTGACATGTTCTGCCTTTCTGAAGAATGACCTTTGCTACAAAGTAATAGTAGTCTACAGGAAGAGCACCATGATAGTACACAATTAATGCTGGTCCGCTCTCAGGGATCTTTTCCAAGCCATAAATTTCATAACCTGTGCAGAACGGGAATACAACAAAGATTTTAGAGTATTAACAAAATATGTAGTTTTATAAATGCATTATAAATATACTGTACATGCATACCATACATTTGTGTAATTAAACCACCCAGAAACAATAAAAAAGCTAAGGGTTTGTTTCCACATTTATCATGGACGGTACCTAATAAATTGAACTTGAAAGCCCTTGTCACAACAACAGCTCCAGTGGCGTAACAACCAGGGGGGGCAGCCAGTGCGCTTGCCCCGGGCGTAAAGCTGATGGGGGGCGCCGGACGAAAATGGCACTTTTGCCTAAATGCAGAAAGTGCCATTCTCCTGCCGTTTTGTCAGCGCAGCCGTGATTTTTTTCCTCCCCGCTGAGCGCTGCTCTGTGTCCCAGCGGGAAGGAGAGAAAGTGACCAATGAACAGGAACACTCATAAAGGATTCCTGTTCATTGATAACAGGGGATACAGAAAAAGAGATTGAGGACTCTCAATCTCTTTTTCTATTTTAAAAAGGGAAATATCAGGGGTCTGTTTAAAAGTAAAAAATAAAAATAATTAATAAAAATTTTGAAAGTTTATAAAAAAATAAATAAAAATTAAATATTTAAAACATTTGAAAAAATAAAAACATGTGTGTGTGGGGTGCGGGATACAGTTCCAGTAGATGTTTATATAATGGCGGGGGGGAACAAAAAACTCTGGTTACGCCACTGAACAGCTCTACAAATAAAGTTTACACTCTCTGCTCAGGGAGCATTAACATTACTAATTGGAGGACTGTAGTTATCATTAAGTGGGGGGCCTGTAGGACTGCTCTAGATAGACTATTGCTCTCACATAAGATTCAGCTAACACAGTTTAACCAACTCACATTCCGGAAAGCAGAGCATTGATGTTCCCTACTTTTTTAACTTTAAATGCAGCACGTTTTACCCGAGTAGAAACTATTCTGCAACATATAGTGCAAGTGTAAAAAGTCTACATGTCGGGAGGCATTACTAACTTTTCTTTAGAAATCAACAGGACAGCACGCTTGAGAGATGATCATTCCACCAGTACACAGGTGACAATAGGTTGTTATATAAGTTAGAGCCATCATTTGAAATTTTCTTTTAAAGTATCTACTGTATAATAAAAAGACAAAAGTGTGAATTCTAGACCATGTGCCTGCTTTAAAAATATGCTGTAATTATGTTCTATAATAGAACATAAGCACCATTATATCAGGTCTAGATTTCCTGCATATCTGTATGCCTGTCACTTTTTTTTTATCCAAATACATTTTGCAGCTGAAGAGATGTATAGCTCTCCGTCCCTTATGTTTACCAGGAAATAACCTAAAGTTGGTAATGTTACTCACCTATAGATATCATTTCTACATATCTAAACAACCATCTTTCTTGATCTCTCTAGCGTTTCAGGGGCTGCCAAAAAATTATATCTTGTGATCAGTAAAACTTTGCAGAAACTTTATATAAAAGTAATGAATAAAACTTAAGGATAACCTTGCCTTTAAAGACAAAGGTATGGTTCAATGACAAAAACTGATTTTACCCACTAGTTTACGCTGCTGCTAGTAGGAAAACAGCCTTTAAAATTTACTTTCTGGGTCAAAATGTCCATAGTATGTGCAAAATATGACTCAATAAGAGCCTGCAGAGCCACATTCAAGTCCCAATTGTCAACTAGTAATACTTATAATGCTCTAAAGAACAGTATACAATTATCTCTGGATTGCTTAAGCTCAGAAAACCACTGTTGTGCCAAGTCTAAAGCTTCAATGAGCTAGGATTAAGACTCTTGCTTAGTCCTGTAGGGTACTGAAATCAGACTGATAGTCAAGGTTACTGTAAAGATATCAAGAAAGAAATATGGTTAGTGATTCTGGTTGAAGCTACCAAGTCAACGTTCTCCTTAAGTCGGGTATACATGCTTCGAATTTCAGCCAGCTCTTGATGAACCAGCCAAAATACGTTGTGTGGGTGCTGCTGTCCGCACCTTTCCACTTGGCCTCCCTTGATCAGCTGATCAAAGGAGCATGCTGGAAAATTCTCGGCTGAACAGAGCTAGTAGCCAATCTGCTGCTAGCTCCGGTCAGGTATTCTTACAGCGGCCATTGGCAGCTGTCACACCCATAAACGCTTTCAAGCATTGATGGAGAATTCTGTTCTATTTTTTTTTTCATTCAGCCTGCTGGTTAAACAAAATATATAGGACCATGCATACCCAGCTTTACTCTAATTTGCTCTAGGGTGGAATATGACTAATCTAATTCAAATGTCCTAAATCCATGTTGTAGTTGCTTTTAGGATTCATAACTTAAACTGACAGCCGTGCCACCCTCAAAAAAAAGTTAAAAGCACCCTTTCTCTACAAAGATGACTCTTCTCTATTTACATAACCTCAAAATGTTCACTCTTTACAACATTTCTCCATGTTGATAATCAAGCCAAGGTACAAAATGTCTGAAGTGTGACTTGCACACATTAAGAAAGTCAAAAAGAAACACAAAATTAATTTCAGTTTGTGAACAAATTTGAGCTACAGTTCTTAGAAATGTCCCTCCCTGTTGGCCAAGAGTGATTTACTTTGCTTTGCATCCCAAGACTGACATTTTTTTTAATTCCAATAACATAATTGCACAAAAAGCCACATTAACTTTTCGGACCCCTGGACTAGGCTTATTTTCTTCTGTCATTTTCCACTTCAGCTTCTCAGCTTTACATCAGGGGCTGAATGGGCTCTGTGGTCTAAACATTTTTAGGCCAGCTCTACAAGCTTCGGGCAACATCGATGAGCTTGCTCTTGATATCAGTTTGAGAGACTTTTGAGATCATTCATAATTCACTGGCAGGTACAATTCACCTGTAGTTGACCTTCTCCTGCTCTCTATGGGGAGAGCAGCAGTTCTAATGTGAACAAAAACCTGTTGACACAGGCCCTTAGGGACAGTTTACTGTAAAATCACTATCCAGAAGTACATGGAAAACCAGGCCCTAAAAAGAGTTTTCCTCACCAATTTGAATGGGATGAAATGCAGCAGTTCCATGTCTTCAACTACACTATTCACTCTCTCCAGACTTGCCTTTTCTTTTTAGGTGATGTTCAAGTTAAACAATTGTTTAAGCTAGCTTGCAGTAGAAGCAACATCAGGTTTAAAGGCAAACATTGTAGACTCCTAGGAACAACACATAAGGTGTTCCTTGCAGTGTCATGAGCCAGCATGAAGCCGGTGTGCTTTCAATAGAACACCAGCTTCCTAGGCAATCAGGAAGCCAGGCGGTGGGTCATGGCACGCCGCCCTGCTTCCTGATTAGCCGGGCCTATGTCACCTTGGGATGCCGGTATCGCGATAATCGCGAGTACCAGAAAAAAGTTATCGATACTCGTAGTCAATGCCGAAAAACCTGTATCGGAGGGAGCATTCCTAATTATATATATATATATATACATACACACACACATACATACTGTATATACACACACATCTGTCTACCAACATGCAGGATGATCTCCAATACACACCTTGTATACCTTGTTAAATTGTCTAAAATGGTCCATGCAGAGATTTTCCTGTTATATTTCAAGGAATAAGCCACAATATCGGTTTTCTCTTACAACAGCACTGTGTGTGAAACCTGATTTTGTGGTTCAAATCTCAACAAAATAAAATGATTGTGCTGATACACAGAGGAGCCTGAAGGGCTCCAGGGGGTAACAGAAATAGCACTTCTAACACTTTTTACCATGCCATATTGTAGCATGCCCATCCCATAGGGTCGCCAATGTTTTCCGGGCACCATCCCATATACTGTTGGAATAAGCTTCTTTCAGTTCATTTTTGCGCTTGTATACGTGGAGGAAGAGGATGGATAGGTAGAGAAAAATGACAATGAGGAAGGGCAGTATGAATACTAGTATCAGTGGTGTGAAGACCCACATGAGGTAGTCTAAGTAGTTCAGGCAATCTTCCAAATTCTCAAGTCCTAACCAATCCAGAAACATCTGCATGAGGCAGGTCAGGTAGGTAAGAGATGGGCCTGCAATACATGAATCATTTTCGGCTGTCATCTTCAGTGTACAGCCCCAAGCACGGGATCCCTTATAGGTTTGTACCTTCCATCCTATGATAAATAGCAAAGTGTAAAGATTATAATACAACCAAAAACACAGAGTAATAGATTAAAAATTTGAATTTACTTTCTTTGCAGTAGCAGAGTATTGTACTGTGTTAGCCATCAATTAACGCAGAAAGTTTGGCATTTAGGTCATACTATTTATTGACTGACTTAGGTTATTAAAGATGCAAGCTTGCCAATAAAGAGCATCTTTTTTTTACAGATATACAAATGACAGCTGCCAGTTATTCAGATGACTACCAGCTGTCAGCCGACTAGCTTTCTCAATTCAGAATGATTAATTCTGAATTGAGAAAGCTAGTCCGACGACCAACGAAACGTCTTCAAGAAAAATACAGCAATGAAACGTCTTCAAGAAAAATACAGCAATGTCAATTGCCTTGATTTATTTTTTACAGACATACCTGGACGATGGAGAACCTTCGCAGACATGTCATTGCATAGTACAGCTTCTCTTGGCCACAGAAGATAGAATGAGTCTCATGGAGGAATTTGTGAATGAGGCCCTAAAAACCTTTTATAGTTTTAAGAATATATGAATACGAGTTGAGCTGCATTTGGTCATTACATAAACAAGCTTTGCCTCTTACTTAGCAGTACTGATAGGTCACTTTGCTTCCCTGCTGCTCTGACCTCTGTAAGGACAACTGGATGTAAAGAGACCCTGTCATCAGCCTAAAAATGTGCAGATAAAAGCACAGAAAAATGAAGTATTTGAAACGCTTGCTTGCAGTGTTTTTATTTCAATACATCATTTTATTATTCAACTGCAATGTGCCTTTGAATTTGCTAGAAAATGTGACCACACCAAGAAGAGTAAATGCCCAACCACCACCACAGGTCTCCCAGCTGCTACGTGATAGCCCTCTCTTCTTCTAGTAATGCCTACTTCTGGGAATAGGTTGCTGCAAAGTCACTTCATATCTCCTCTCCCAATTTCTAGCAGTCTCCATGCAGTCTGTGCTGTACTGAGAGAATTAACAAGAAAGTCCCATGTTGCCACCAGTTCCTGTCTGATCTCTTCATCCTGCCCTTCTGATGTCTGCCTTGCTTTTATTGACCCCCTGTCCATAGACCTGGTCGGCTCTTCGTCTCTGATTTTTTGCTTTAGTTCCAGGTAATTCTGGTTCACTGGTGATCTCTACTCTGAAATTCTCCCGATATGTTGATGTGAGTGGTGATGATTGAACTCGTATTGGTTAAATCGATTTGGGAGATCGACTACTTTGGAGATTGGGAAGGAGCGCTGGATGAGCTGGACAAACAAATGCTATCACGCTTTATTTGACCATCTAGATTCTCGAGATAGAAGGTTAATAATTTCTGGTGAGTGCAGAGCAGTGTTAAGGCTGGGTTCACACCTAGGCGTATTGAATATGCACGTTTGTCGCGCGTTTTTCGGTAAAAAACGCGCGACAAACGCCCATTTCCGAGGGCTACTTGGCTGTATCCCAATGGAAACGCAAGACCAAAACGCCCCAAAGAAGTACATGTACTTCTTTGGGCGTAGGCCGTTTTGTATCGCGTTCGGACGGGCGGAAATACGGCAAGGTGTGAACCAGACCCATTGAATACAATGGGATTTAGATGTTTGAGCGTTTTGTAGAGCATTCGTCGAGCGTTGAACGCGCTACAAAACGTTCAGGTGTGAACCAGGCCTAATTCACAGGGTGTGACGCCTGCTGCTTCTTTTCTAGGATTATTAGAATACTTTGCAGTACTTTGGATTGGATTGTGTTCATCTTGGGTAGAGGTATTTAACGATAACTATCTGGGACACATTGATTAATGTGTGGAGCACATGGGCACTGAATCACTACGAACTTTTGGATTGGACTTTTTTTAATATAGATTTATAGTTAACCATTTAAGTATTTAGATCATTGTTCACATATTTGTGATGAATTTGTTGATGGTACAACATACACATTGAATACCACATTACACAGTCATACTTATATGAATTTCTATGTGATGATTATACATTTTGCACAGTTTTACCGATATGATTTAGCACTGTGCAATTTTTTGCTACAAAAATAGTAAATGCCCAACCACCGACACAGCTCTCCCATCTGCTAGGTGACAGCCCTCTCTTCTTCTGTGCTTAATTATTGTCTGTGCTGGCCCAGCATCTCCACCTCTCCATTTACCAGCCTACTAATCTTTTATTCAAATGCTTGAGAAGGAGAATAATATAGAGTGGCTCTCGAGTGACAGTTTTAGTTAAGAACTTCAAATGATCATAACAGCAGTAAAGTAGTGTCAAAAACATCTGTCAGTATGAAAATCTGTTTATCTGTGTATGGCATAATTGGTCATAAAATACAGGACATAAAAAATCTTGCCTCCAAACTAGGCCCCATAAAAGGGGTCATGGTCATTACCATTTATAACGGACAATGTGGTCACAGTATGAATTAAAACGAACTAAATCGGTCTGTGGCCCCCAAGGCTCTTGACACAATTTGGAAGTATACACAGCATATTTGCACATTATGGCACACCTGCCTCCCAAGGTGCCCTCCTCCAGTCATGCGATGTATGTGCTGCCCCCTCATCATTCAGTGGCTGCCACTGACACCTTTGCTCAATCTTCTTCAGCCATCTGCTGGCCAGGGATGATCTAATGATGTAACTCCTCATCACTTTGTCCAGGCACCCAAGGTATGCCGAGATCAGCTTCTATCTTTAATTTTCAACGCTTCACTGAACACACTGAATAGAGAAACTGATTGGTTACTATGGGCAACTGCTTAGATTTTGATACATTTCCCCCAATGTCTCTTCTACTGTAAGAAAAAAAACCTACCTGCCAGCAATTTTGCTGAAACAGACTGTTTTTATTTTACACAGCATTCAAAATTTGCATTTGCCAGCATAACCCATTTCACCCTCTTTTTAGGTGGAATTCTCAACTCCTTTGCACATTTTTCTGCTGCTTCTTACCTCCTCTAGAAAAAGCCAGTTGTTTACAGAGATCAATAGCTCAATCTGAAATTTACACATAAGTGAAAGAGCCAGAGGAGTGACTCATCCCTTACCGGATGGTTTTGTTTGAGATTTCAATAAGAGACAGTGTGTCTCTTATTGAAATCTCTTTTCAATAAGAGGCACACATAAGAGGCACATCTCTTTTCAATTACTTGTGTGTGTTGTCTCTTTGGCTATCCCATAGGGTTTTCGGGAATCCTCCTCATGCATGAAATATTTAATTGTAAAACAACAATTGTGAACATATTGCATACTAAAAAACCGATAAACACCAGTAGCAAAAATAAAATCGTCCCAAAACCATTATTATTACATAGTATTTATATAGCGCCAAAAGTTCGCGCAGCACTTTACAATATAAGGAAGACATTACAGTTACAGTACAAATCAAGACAAGATGGTAAGGAGGGCTTACAATCTAAAAGAGGAGGGGGAAATGATACATGAGGAGGTAGCTGTGAGGGGATGAATTATTTGAGAATGTTAGCGTTTCCTTTTAAGTAAATGGACTTAGTTTACACATTATTTGGCTGGTAATGCAGATTTTCATTAGCAGTTACAGTCCAATATGATAGATAGATAGATAGATAGATAGATAGATAGATAGATAGATAGATAGATAGATAGATAGATAGATAGATAATTTCACAATCTGGTGATTTGTAGCTGGAAATAAATATTTAAAGCAATACTTACCAAAGTGCACTTGAGGGGCTCATGTGCACCCAGTCTGAAACGCCATACACAGCTAAGGCATTTTCATGAACCCTGACACAGCACTAAAGCTTCGGGTGAACGCCGCTGGTAGAAGTGACATCACAAACCAGGAAATGGTATATCTAGTCAAAACAAAAAACACTTAGTGTTAAATCTCCAGACTTGTGAGACAAAATGGGACCAAATCATTTATTAGACAATGTAGCTGCATATAGCTATGGTTGCTATGACTTACTACTCCTCGACCTACAAAGTTTGTTTTGTAAAATAAGTGAAATGTCAAAACTTCACTTAATATGAATAATGCAGTTTTGGGTGAGGAGCAGAGGGGTAATTCCACTTACCTCTGTAATTATGCTGCTCAATGCACTCACCAATCTCCTTCCAATGCAAAGGAAAGGCTTAAACCACAATGACTGGACACTGCATTGGAAGCCAGGTAGAGATTGCTGAAGGAACCTATCCGGCCTTGTACATACCCCTACTGCCTCCATTTTTCTCCATTTTGTTGCACAAAGTTTCCCATTGAAGTATGTGGGACCAAAATGCGCTGTAATCTGCCAAAAAGTAGCTAAAAGTAGCCAAAAAGTAACTTTTTCCAGTGACCAGCGGTTTTCTGCTTGCGAAAAAATGCTCAGGTGTGAACGGGGGCCATAGAAATGAATCAGATTCCTTGTCGTGAGCATTTTGTCACACTTACCTTTGAGCAACAAAACACCTAGGTGTGAACGGGGACTAAGCTAATTTTGCACTGTTCTTGATAAAGCAACCGAAACTCGCTCAGTGGGTGGCCCGGTTGGCAGCCTTCCACCCGAAATCTTTTGGTCATAAATACAAAAAACCCATACGGGAAATTCTTGGCCAAACAGTGACTGCAGCCAGTTAACCTGAAGTCACTGTATGTCCCGCACTGCAGCACAGATGCGTTACATAAAAATGAATCAAAAGTCACTTTGACATTCAATAGAGTTTTTAAAAAAAGGTAACAACATTAACAAGGTACGCGCCCCCCCCCCTTACACACAATAATGTCTTTTTCTAGCACTCGGGCTGGTGTGAATGAGCCCTGAAAGAAATGAAATCCAATAAATGGAAGGGGCCGGCCAGGAACTGTCAGGCTGTGAAGAAAAGTGCTGGACGGTGTTGGACGTCCTCCAGCCAGGAAATGAGACAGGTTCTACCAGACTTGCTGCAACTTCTGAATCACGAGGAGAGGTGCTGGTACAAAGGTCAAAGACTGAAGGGAGTTCTGTTTTCCTGTACCCATATAAAAGTTTATGCACAGTATAACTCCAAATTACACCTGGAAGGACGATGATAGATGACAGTGTGGGAATCGGCTACCCCCAAAATAATGACAAGTACAACACTCCAGTTTCACCATCAGCAGGACACAGCGTATCACTTTCCACACACAGATCACATGACATGTAAACACACACCAGCAGATTCGTTTTATGGTACATCCCAGTCTATAACCTGTTCTGGTTTCTATGAGCCTGAACTAATCATTTGTCAGGGACTTTCTCTGCTTCCCCACAGACAATACAAACACTCCTGTATTCATTTCTGATGTATGGTGCAGCTCACACTACCTTGTTTAATGTATAGGGGAAGACACTGGGGACATCCGATACCTGCAAATAAAGACACAAGTCAGTAAGATCATCACATGACAAGATCGCTTCATTGTAAATAAGTGAGTACTGACACCTCACCCCTCACCTACCCTGCTTCCACCAACACTGCCAGTGTCCAAGGTTGTGACAGCGGAGCCTCCTGGAGCTGTAATGGACGGAACTACATTACCCGGCATGCTCTGCTTCGCCTTCCTGGGTACAGTCGCGTGACTGCATGCAGGTCCTGTCTCTCTACAGCCGCATGCCGCGTATGCTATCACAGTAGAAACATGGCCCCCAACTCCTCCCGTCGTGTGTGACGTCATTGCAAGCAAAGCATGATGGGGAATGTAGTTTAGCAACCGGAACTTGGAAGTTCTCGTAAACGTCGTGTTGGTGTATGTAGCGCGGAGCGGCACGATGTGGTAGTGACCTAAGCGGCTCAGAGCTGTATGGAGCGGCCATGTGTGCCCAGTGTTTACACGTCATTGCGTTGGTCAGAGCATCCTGAGCGCAGGGCATGCCGGGAGTGGTAGTTGTGTGAGCACGCCTATCCGATGGAACCCTGAAGAGATGTGGCGTGAGGGTGAGATTGCACCCTGCAAGTATTGTAGAGAGGTGGCTGGATGAGGGCAGCGTAGGTGGGACATCCGTATCTGGGTGTGCTGCTGTGGTCAGCCATGTTAGTGTCACGTGACATAACATTGTATACAAGGCTGTGTACACGTCCCCGTACACTGTAATGGTGTCTTCATGTTAGTGACTCAGATTGTGGGTGCCCTGTTTGGTGTCAGACTCATGGGGACATCACATGGCTATCAGGGTTTCACACGCCCATGTTACAAATTACAGCTTTCCAGCTCTATAATTCAGAGGGTCTCTGCTATTACTATGTACCACCTATCATGTCATGTCAATGTTTATGCTGATAATGATTATACAGGATGTTTATAGCACCATCAGTTCCCACAGCGCTGTACAAAATAAAGGGAGACAGTATGGTTACAATAAAATTCTAGGCAAAAGGGTTGGGAGGACCCTGCTCATGAGAGCTTACAATCTAAAGGGAGGTGCATGTGACACAAAAGGTTATGAGTGGTTGGGGATGAGTTGATGAATAGTTCAATTTTTAGGTAGAGGTGGGATAGGCTTTCTGAAGAGAGGCATTTCTAGGGATCACCAAAAGGTGGACAGAGTAGGCGACAGCTGGGCGGTTTGGAAGTTCCAGAGGATGGAGGAGGCTCTTGACATGTCCTGGAGATAAGCATGGGAGAGGAGACAAAGGAGTTTGAGAACAGGCGGTCTTGGGAGGACATAATTAAAAAATAGTGAGTCTAGGGAGGAGGTGATAAGGAAGCTAGAAAGTAGGAGGTCTAGGGAGGAGGTGACAAGGGAGCTAGACAGCAGGAGGTCTTGGGAGGTGATGACGAGGGAGCCAGAGAGCAGTAGGTCTTGGGAGAAGGCGACAAGGGAGGTAAGAGAGCAAGAGGTCTTTGGAGGAAGTGATGAGGGAGCTAGAGAGAAGGAGGTCTTGGGAGCAGGAGGTCTTGGGAGGAGGTGACGAGGGAGCTAGAGAGCAGTAGGTCTTGGGAGAAGGTGATGAGGGAGCAGGACATCTTGGGAGAAGGTGACGAGGGAGGTAAAGAGCAGGAAGTCTTAGGAGGAAGGGAAGACAGAGAGCAGAATGTCTTGGGAGGAGGTAACGAGGGAGCTAGAGAACAGGAAGTCTTGGGAGAAGGTGACGAGGGAGCCAGAGAGCAGGAGGTATTGTGAGAAGGTGAGGAAGGAGGTAAAGAGTAGTGATGGGCTTGGGCGTGTTCGCAGCTCCACGTGCCGAGCCCGCCAGGAAACTGACAGCGCCGCAGCGCCAATCACAGGTACTGAGCCATTATCCCGGTCCGCAGCTGCAGAGATGGGGAAATGTCTCCTACCTGTGATTCCCGCTGCGGCGCTTTCAGCTCCCTGGCGGGCTCGGCACGTGGAGCTGCGAACGCGCCCGAGCCCATCACTAGTAAAGAGCAGGAGTTCTTGGGATTAAGTGACAAGGGAGCTAGAGAGCAGGAGGTCTTGGGAGGAGGGAGCTAAAGAGCAGGAGGTCTTGGGAGGAGGGAGCTAGAGAGCAGGAGGTCTTGGGAGGAGGGAGCTAGAGAGCAGGAGGTCTTGGGAGGAGGGAGCTAGAGAGCAGGAGGTCTTGGGAGGAGGGAGCTAGAGAGCAGGAGGTCTTGGGAGGGAGGCAGAGAGTAGGAAGTCTTGGGATTAGGTGACAAGGGAGTTAGAGAGCAGGAGGTCTTGGGAGAAGGTGACGAAGGAGGCAAAGAGCAGGAGGTCTTGGGAGAAGGGAGCTAGAGATCAGGAGGTCTTGGGAGAAGGTGACGAGGGAACAGAGAACAGGAGGTCTTGAGAGAAGGCACCGAGGGAGGTAGAGAGCAGAAGGTCTTGGGAGATGGTAATAAGGGAGCTAGATAGCAGGAGATCTTGGGAAGAGGTAAGGAGGAAGCTAGAGAGTAGGAGGTCTTGTAAGAAGGTGACAAGGGAACCAGAGAACAGGGTGTCTTGGGAGAAGGTGACAAGAAAACTTGAGAGCAGGAGGTCTTAGGAGGAGGTGATGCAGTAACTAGAGACGATGATGCTTCCTGAAGACCCAAAGGATCTTTCCAATGCTCCCATTAATCACAGCACACTTTCCTGTTTAATTGTAAACATTCTCACAGCTACCACTTCATCATCCCAAACAGGACACTATTCTGCAAAATAGCCACCACAGCCTAGGGTGGAGGTAGTAAGTGTCTTCAAGGTCCCTGAGGTCCTCAGAATGTCCCCTAAAGTGAGGATGTGTCTGAGCACTCTAGGAAATGCACTACAGTATAGCATAGGTGCTATCATTTAGGACTTTTTGATTTATAGATGGTGTATTTAAAGCCTTTCTCCAGATTAGAAAAAAAGCTCCCCTTCCAGTGGGGCTACTCCCACACTGCAAGTGTAACTGCTTGACTATGTCTAAGCTGTGTAAAGGACTTTTACCTACCTGATCCACCCTCCAACAGCCTCTTCCCCCCTCCGCTCTGGGGGGTTAAAGGCCCGCTGATTTCATAGACCTACATTATATGAGTGGATGATAAGGGGCAGTTCATAAGCTGGATCAGAGGGGAGTGAGGTGAGGGCCAACTGCTGGGGGAGCATAGATCAGATAGGCAAAATTGTTTTATCCAGGTCCTCTAGACATAAATGAGCAGTTAGTTACCCCTGCACTGCAAGGGTTTGCAAGGTTTTTTGTTTTTTTTTAATATGCTTAGAGATAGGCTTCAAGGAAATATCGTGCTGTCCTTGTGTTGGTCATAAAGAGGACAAATCGTCAGAAATTTCAACCACTTTCAATTATGAAAATGTACAAAAGGATCAAGACGTCTTGCCACCGGCAGGTTAAATATTTGTACGGCAGAAATGTCAGTTGTTTACCTTAATCTGTTTTGGGTTTTTTTGCAATTTGAAGCTGGTTGAAATTGCTAACAAAAAAAAATTGTTTATATATGAAGTATATGGCCAGTTGTAACAGGAATTAGAATCCGGAATGATAGCCTCCAAATTTTCACCGGGTGCCCACCAGTGATTTTTGCATTTGGAATTAGACAATTCCTAATAAAGATTGTGATGTGTGTACAGGAAACTTTGACATTACCAAATTGTCTTTCTTCACCTCTTTAGTCCTTGAAATGTGTAATCAAACTAGTGAATTTTCTGAGCTAGTAAATTGATAGTAGAAAATATTAATTCTGTTCCTTGGCTTTGTTTAATTTTTAGAATTCTGACTTCCACAAACTCAATAATTAAGAAGACCTTCATCTGGAAATTCAAGGACTGTGAGTATAGCAAGTATATATTAACCCCTGTACACTGTCGGGTTTATTTAGTGATGCAGTGCACGGAGCAGAGTGCTGGAGCCAGGAGCATGCCTTGGTGCATGCATATTAGTCTAGCTTGATACAGTGTAAGTATATATAAATTAGCACCAGGTAGGGCCACGTTACCAGTCGCAGCTACTACAGTGCTTTACAGTGAGCTTCTGGATCCTGGTACTCTGCTATGCTGAATCACTTCCCTTCCATTGTTAAACGCAGCAGAATTGCCAAAAAACTGTCTCCTGTTAGGTGCTCTGTTAATTATGATGCAGTTCAATTTGGGGAAGAAATTGCCAGAAAGCATTAAAGATGGCATCAGCTCCAGCCTAGACACTATACACCAATCAGCCATAATATTAGGATCACTGAGAGGTGAATAAGGGCGAAGTGAATAACATTGATTCTCTCATTACAATCCCAGATAGCAAGGATAACTTGCTACAAACTTGTGGCAGGGTGAAATTGTAATTTTGTTAACTTGCTGCACATATTCCTGGCATGTTGTAGACTTGCAGAACACTTGCAGCACAAGTTCTAGTTGACACTTTTTGAATTTGTAGCAAATTTGCTTGGCAAGTCTACAGCAAGAGTCCTGCAGGTCTTGGCAAGAGCTCTGCAAGCTCGCTGGTCTGGAGACTTGCAATGCAGACTTGCTGTAATTGTGCAACAAAATTGTGAAGCTTGGCAAGTCTGCAATAGTTTAGCAAGTCATTTTCAAACTTGCAGCTCAATTGCTTGCTATCTGGGATGGCAGCTGGAAGTAGGTCGGATATATTAGGCAGCAAGTGAACATTTTGTCCCTGAAGTTGATGTCTTGGATGCAAAAAAAAATGGGCAAGTCTAGGAATTTGAGCCACTTTGACAAGGGATAAATTGTGATGGCTTGATTACTGGGTCAGAGCAACTCTGCAGTTCAAAACTGCAGCTCTTGTGAGATAATCCCGGTCTGAAGTGGTCAGAACCACTTCAAGTGGTCCAAGGAAGAAAATCCAATGAACCGGCGACAGGGTCATGGATAGGCAATGCTCATTGATGCACGTGGGGATTAAGGCTGGCCCATGCAGTCCGATCCAATAGAAGAGTTACTGTAGCTCAGATTGCTGATAAAGTTAATCCTGGTTCCAATAGAAAGGTGTCTGAACACACAGTGCATCACAGTTTGTTGCGTATGGTGCTGCGTAGCCGCAGACTGGTATGGGTGCCCTTTGTGTCCCATGTCCATCGCCAAAAGCGCCTACAAAGGGCATGCGAGCATCAGAACTGAACCACGGAGCAACGGAAGAAGGTGGCCTGGTCTGATGAATTGTTTTCTTTCATATCATGTGGATGGTCAGGTGCGTATGTGTCACTTACCTGGGGAAGAGATGCAACCAAGATGCACTATGGAAGGAAGGCAAGCCGGCGGAGGCAGTATGATACTTTGGGCAATGTTCTGCTGCGAAACCTTGGGTCCTGCCATTCATGCGGATGTTACACATACCATGTACCTAAACATTGTTGCTGACCAAGTGCACCCCTTCATGGGAACGGTTTTCCCTGATAGCAGTGGCCTCTTTCAGCAGGATAATGCACCCTGTCAAAGTGTAAAAAATGGTTTAAGAATGTTTTGAGGAACACAGCAACGAGTTTGAGATGTTGACTTGGCCTCCAAATTTTCCAGATCCCAATCCAATCGAGCATGTGCCGATCGCTTGCGGTTGTGCGGCCGCTCCCCCCTAAAAAAAATTAAACGTGCGCGCGCATTACCAAAAACATGCATCGGGTGCGTCTATGTACGAAAACGACAATTGCGCCCATTATGCAGCACATGTTACATATCGCTGCGAACGTCGGAGTGAGAGCAATAATTTTAGGGCCATCAATCACTGATAACACTAAACTGATGAGCGGTAAAAACGTGTAAAGTGTCGCCTATGGCCAATTTTGGTTGTGGTCGTTTTCTGTGATTTTCCGGGCGCGCGCAATTTTAAAGGTTGACATGTTTAGTGTCTATTTACCCGACGTGACCCTGTCTTTTATATTATACCAAAAAATTGGGGTGAAAATAAATGTTTCATAACATTTTATAGGGAAACATGTTTTTTTTCAAAATTTAGGGTACTTTTTTTGTTATATAGTAAATACCACCAAAAGAAAGCTCTATGTGTCCCCCAAAAAATGGTATAAAATTAATTTCAGTACAGCGTTGCATCACGGAATAAACGTCAGTCAAAGTACTGCAGCGCTGAATACTGAAAAATGGCCTGGCCAGGAAGAGGGTGAAACACTCCGGTCTTCAAGTGGTTAAAATTGTGCTTTTTTTTTATTTTATTTTTTAATTAGTTTGTATCCAAACTTAAAATGAATTTCCACTCAAAGCCTTTTTGTTTTTCTATTTAGTTTTGTATTGAGTGGAGCAGGATTAGCAATCCAGGGCTCCCGTTTAGAGACATTTCCATTCGCTCTCATTGTGACAAAGGTTTCGCCATACAGCATATCAGGGAAAATCTCCAAAAGAACGCAATTTCTAGAAATTATTATTATTGGTCAAGTAGGAGGACGGTAGAACTGTAGATGTCTAGTCAGCTTTTTATTGCCGCTTGTGTTGGAGTTGCAGATTTTTTTACAATTCCTGTCTGGTGAAACCATTGTCATCGTCACAGTAAGTTAGGGAAAATCCCTTCAATGGAGCCTGAATAGCAGTAAACCTGACAGGGATTCTAATAATTCCCCATTTCATTCAAAACTAACAAAAAAATATGCATGTGTTGCAGAACTAGTATTGTTTGTTTTCAAAATTCTTGAAAATCGATCTATACATCTTGGGCCACATGGGCAGGTCCTAATTGTGTGCAAAGGCAGCAGATTGAAGTAGTGAGATCTATCCATATTTTCTTATGTGTGTGTGTGTGCAGATATTTAGCATGTACATAAAGTATTTTTTCATTTACATTGTATGTTTTGATTGATTTGCCATATAATAGGATCATGCTGTGTGTAGAATGGAATCATGTGGCAGAGATGTGCCTTTACCTGGACGATCTAAGTGAAGAAAGCAGAATATTGTGTATTTGCTCCAGAGCTTTTGTTAAGTAAGTCCTAATGCACAATTCTTTTATTTCCATTATAGTCCTTTTTAGTATAAGCCAAGGCAGCGGAAAATATAATGCTGTTATTTAACCCCTTCGTGACGGGAGACGTACACTGTACGTCCAGCCACAAAGGGACCAAATGACTTGTCACGTACACTGTACGTGACAAGTTATTTGCTTCTTTAGAGGGCTGTTAAACGCTGAGAATCAGTTTTTAACATTCATTAATAGATGCCCTTACTACAGAGGCATTCATTAATGAAAGGGTTAACCTTTTTCAGACACCCGATACCTTAATATCGGGTGTCTGAGAGTCAAAGCAGAGGAACACACATGCCGGCTTTTTGTTTTTTTTAACGTTTTTTTTCTCTTTTTTTATATTTTATTTGTCCTAAGTGAGGCGTTAGACACACATATGTGATATAAATATGTAGCCCTATCTGTCCTCTAAAAAACAATATATAATATGTGTGGGTGCACTTTGTAAGAAAGTATATTACTGACGTGGAAGAATCACACAGCAAAAATGTCAAAAGTGTGTCAGTCATTTACGAACAGAAACTAAAAACAAGCTCAGTCATGAAGGGGTTAATAAAATCTGTTGGTAACAGAGAACTCAAGTGATTGTTGTCTTTTGCTTGGGGCTCTTCATGTTATGGGGACAAAAATTCTATTGATGCAAGTTACTTTCCACATGCCCCCATTCAGTTGGCCTTTTTCTGTACCCCAGTGGCAAAATGGCCTTGTTTTTGCAGGGCATGGGGGGGTCTCAGCTGCCGTTGTGATGTGCGGGGTCCCTTGTGCGTCCCTGTGCCTTTAAGGGAGGTTGGGCTTCCTCCTGACAAACCTACACCCAAATTTATCTTTTGCCACATGTGTTCCAAGATGGAGACTCTCATAGTTTAGAGTTAGGACCGCACTATATAGAGGTGCCTTGGCGCGGCTGTGCGGCTTTCACATTTTCTGCAGAAGACGTGTATCTAAACCTCTGTTTTTAATCTTAGCAGTGAGACAAGTTTTTTTGCATGCAGGCTGGTGAGTGTGCTGGGAAACTTTTTGCTATTACCGTTTAAAGCCCTTCCATGTGCACCTTGCTCTAAAAGCTGGTAAAAAATTGATGAGATGAGTGCGTTTGCCATTTGTTTTGCTCTTCCTAATGAGGACACAGACGTGAAAAACAACACCTGACAGGTGTTTTAATCCCTAATCCCGCATTTGTCTTCAGTTGCACTTTAACTTGTTTCAGACTGGTGATGTTTACTCCTATGGTTAAACATTCTGAAACGACTTTAGGTTTTCTGTGTTGCTAATGCCATCCATTTGGCTAATAAAATCTCTGACCATCAGCAAGTATTTGGAGACTTTTTTATTGTTTTCTGTAGATTAAGTTCATTTGTACTGTATTAATGGGTCCTCTGTCTTCAGTTTATTACTGCTGGAGGGTCTTTCCACCAGTGATAAAGTGAGTGTCTTTCCTCTTTCCGTTGTACCTTACTTATGGCTGCTGTAGGGGAGTGGGCTGAAGCGCTGTTCATGTGATTGCTAAGGGTATTCTAAGTGCACATACAAAGGGGAAGAGATCCCTGTATATGGGACCGCTACAGGGCTGTAGAAGTGGGACACAACATGCGGCTCTGGAAGCGGGGGGAGCACTGTTCACACTTGGTTATGCAGACCCTGTAGCCTTAGACAGTGAAAGATGAAGGTTCTGAAGACCACTGCTGTGTCATGATTTCAATGCTTCCAATGTCTGTCTTTAA